CTGGAGTGAGTGGAGTGAGTGAGTAGAGTGAGTGAGTGGAGTGAGTGGAGTGAGTGATTGGAGTGAGTGGAGTGAGTGAGTGAGTGGAGTGAGTGGAGTGAGTGAGTGGAGTGAGTGGAGTGAGTGAGTGAGTGGAGTGAGTGGAGTGAGTGAGTGGAGTGAGTGAGTGGAGTGAGTGACTGGAGTGAGTGGAGTGAGTGAGTAGAGTGAGTGAGTGGAGTGAGTGGAGTGAGTGATTGGAGTGAGTGGAGTGAGTGAGTGGAGTGAGTGACTGGAGTGAGTGGAGTGAGTGAGTGGAGTGAGTGAGTGGAGTGAGTGAGTGAGTGGAGTGAGTGAGTGGAGTGAGTGAGTGGAGAGAAATAAGCAGCTGTGAAAGTTTGGGATACCACTACTTGAACCAACAAGATCATCACAAGTTCGACCTCCCGAATCGAACCAACTAAACGTCCCTCCTTAAAACCTGCTGACCCCCTAGATTGTATGGTCTCCCCAAGATTCATAAAGAAGGCACTCCACTACGACCCATCGTATCCACGATCAACTCCCCTACCTATAAGCTAGCACGTTTTCTGTCAGATTCCTTGCTACCTTTCACTGGCAAGACCTCCTCAGCAGTGCTTAACTCAGCCCATTTGGTCTCTATGGTCAAAGACGTTGTACTGTCCCCTGACGATATCCTTGTCAGATTCGATGTGGCCTTCCTGTTCACCAAGGTCCCGGATCCTGATACCATTGAAATAATTGAAAATTTGGTACAACATGGACTAGACCCCGATACACCTGCGCTGGTTAGACACTGCCTCACCAATACCTACTTAACTTGGAATGGCACCTTCTACAAACAAAATGAGGGTATCCCCATGGGTTCTCCCTTATCACCAGTGATAGCCAATATTTTCATGGAGAAATTTGAATCAGACGCCATCCAGACTTTCACCCTCAGAACTTCCCTGTGGAAGAGATATGTGGATGACACTTTCGTCATTTGGCCACATGGCCTCCCAGCTTTGAACCTTTTCCTACACCACATCAATTCCAGACATCCCGCCATCAAATTCACCATAGAAGTGGAGAAAGATGGCAAGCTACCATTCTTGGATGTTCTGTTCGAGAGGAGACCTGATGGCTCACTGGGGCATTCTGTCTACAGGAAACCCACCCACACAGATTTCTACTTGAAACCTGATTCCCACCACCACCCAGCTCAAAATAATTATCTCATCAAAACGTTATACCACAGGGCACATTGCATTTCGGACCAACACCACCTGACCAGTGAATTAAAACATGTACACCTGGCCCTCAAGAGAAACGGATACTCTGACCGTACCATCCGCCAAGCTGTTTCTCCCTCCATACAGAAACAGCCACGTGATACTCCGGTCAAAACCATCACACTGCCATATATAGCAGGCGTTACTAAAAAGATCTCCAAAATTCTAAACAAACACAAGATCCTGGTCCGGTTCAATACAGTACACAAAATCCGTGACCTGATCCCATCCGTGAAGGATGTCGTTCCTGACTTACAGTACCCCGGGGTTTACAAATTGAGCTGCACTTGTGGTGATTGCTACATCGGGGAGACGAAGCGACATGTCTCTGACCGAATTCGCGAGCACAAATCAGATTTGAAACACGGCAGAACGAGTTCTTCTGCCGTAGCTGACCACTGTTACAACGCTGTGGGTTATCACGATATAGTTTTCTTCGATGCCAAGGTTCTCTGCAAACCCACGGGTTTATATCAGAGATTTGTCCACGAGGCAATTCAGATTTACAAACACAGACACAATTTCAACCGAGAGGATGGTTTCAAATTAAGCAATCATTGGAAAGATGTTCTAAATCAAACCAAACATTAAACTAATTTTCAATGGTACAGTATATTTTTTTCAAGTAGTGGTATCCCAAACTTTCACAGCTGCTTATTTATCTCCACTCACTCCACTCAGTCACTCCACTCACTCACTCCACTCACTCCACTCACTCCACTCACTCACTCCACTCACTCACTCCACTCACTCTACTCCTCCCCCCCCCCCCCCCCCGCTGCTGGTCCGTCATGGTCCCCACCCGCTCCTGGTCCATCATGGTCCATGCACCTCCTACGTACATCATGCTCATTTTTACGCTAATGCCTTTGTCAAAGCGTTTTGTTTCCTCCCACACAGCTTAAAGGACGCAAAACAAACGGGTTTTTTTTTATCAGAGATTTGTCCACGAGGCAATTCAGATTTACAAACACAGACACAATTTCAACCGAGAGGATGGTTTCAAATTAAGCAATCATTGAAACATGTTCTAAATCAAACCAAACATGAAACTAATTTTCAATGGTAGAATATATTTTTTCAAGTAGTGGTATCCCAAACATTCACAACTGCTTATTTCTCTCCAATCACTCACTCCACTCACTCACTCCACTCACTCCACTCACTCACTCCACTCACTCACTCCACTCACTCACTCACTCCACTCACTCACTCACTCCACTCACTCCAATCACTCACTCCAATCACTCACTCCACTCACTCACTCACTCCACTCACTCACTCCACTCACTCCAATCACTCACTCCAATCACTCACTCCACTCACTCCACTCACTCCACTCACTCACTCACTCTACTCCCCCCCACCCCCGCTGCTGGTCTGTCATGGTCCCCACCCGCTCCTGGTCCATCATTGCCCATGTACCTCCTACATACATCATGCACATTTTTTATGCTAATTCCTTTGTCACAGCGTTTTGCTTCCTCCCACACAGCTTAAAGGACGCGACCTGGGCTTGGCTGTTTTCACTCCAACGCTGTCCTCATGACAGCACGGTCCCTTCACCTGATGAAGGCCACTTGTGTTGTGGCCGAAACGTCGTGATTTTTGTTATTTTATTTTTTACCTACGTGACTTTACCGAATAGAACCAAAGAGTATAGCCATAGTTATCATCAGCGGCGAGTGACATCTGAACCGGTCCTGGGGCCAATTGCAACGAACCGGCGTGGTGAAGCATGGTTAACGAAATCTGACATGACATGAGGGAGGCCTTCATCCAGCGGTGGGTTGACAAAGGGGCTGTAAGTTATTTATTATTTTGCTATTTAACTTACCATGTGCTGGTTGGACTCGGATTAATGGAATACTGCAGCAGCCTATTTACATACTGCATACACATCACTGCGATTTGATAAACTTTTGCAAATTCAGGACCAAAAAAAATTGATGCAAGAATCAATTATTTGTAATATTCTCCAGCAGGAAGATAATGACATACAGTATTCTGGTTCCAAATAGATGTTTTGAGTTCATCATTCGATGTTTAGCTCGGGCTATGTAATGATCTGACTAAATCTGTGTCATTAGGAACCCTCCACCACCCAACACAGAAAAATAAATTGTGGCTCAATTGGTTAACATCAGCCCCCCCCCCTGCCAGCAAGTAAAGGCGCGGCCCTGCAATTTCTGGCTCACGCCACTGCTGTCGGGAGGGGTCTCGACAAGGAGCCCTGTCTTGAACAATAATACTGTAAGTAATCTTCTTTGGTTCTTTCGGTAAAGTCACGTAGATTGAGAATAAAATAATAAATTGATCAAATAAAATAACAATAAAATTCTCACGACGTTTCGGCCACAACACAAGGGGCCTTCATCAGGTGAAGGGACGAGACTGTCTGAAGGCCGCTTGTGTTGTGGCCGAAACGTCGTGAGAATTTTATTGTGTTATTTTATTTTATCAATTTATTATTTTATTCTCATTTTACGTGACTTTACCGAAAGAACCAAAGAAGATGAATCCTTGCAGTCACGAAAGCTTTAAATCGAAACTGTAAGTAATGTTTAAAAAACCTTTTTTTTTTAAACACGCTTTAATGAAATGTACTCTACGAGTAATGGAAGAACTCCACGACTCCAGGAAGTGGCCCCGAAGCTTGGCCACAACGCAAGGGGGCCGTGGCCAATTACAGCCAACGTCAGTTGAGCGTGGACAATTAGAGCCAAGCCGAAACATAACGTATACAAAAGATGGTTTAAATGTTTTATTTTTATTTTTAATGATAGAATAATTGCCATCAGTATGACATACGTATACCAAGTTTGCAGTCGATACCACATTGGAAAGTGGGTTACAATTGAGTTACAAGATTTGAGGATACAACAACAGACAGAGTGAGTTATATAAAAGCGTGTAATAATAAAAATGGGTCTACTCAGCCGTGAACTTGCCCATCAACGTTTCTTCTGTGCCGTGGCACTGCTGTATTGGTGGAGAGTCACGGTAGGAGAGGGTGGGGGGAGATAGTTGTTTACAAATGGCTACACCGAGAGATTGAACCGGTGAACTCGATAATGGATAATGGATTGCAAGTCATGTCCACGCCATTACACCACGACACTAAACGTTTTGTCACCTCGGAGCACATAAAACTGCTCTGTACAACAGTAAAACAACAAAAATGTACGGACATTCTAACAAAGTATTATGTTGAAATGGGCAAACTCAAGGAGGCACCCAGAAGTGGTTCTTCACGTGACATCTGATGAGCAGCACAAAGACAACGACAAAGATCCCCCCTATAGCCTTAACAGACTGTAGGGGCAAGTGCCGGCACGGCACACGAGGAGGTGGGTGGCCAACACCACGCCCGGCCGCTTTTGTCTCCCCAGTGGCGATGTTTACACACCGCACCAGGTACTCATTTTAGGCTGAGTCGACCTAGGGGAGGCCCAGGACCATTTCAATTAATCGTCACTGGTGTTGCTGGCCGTGAGCGGGAATCGAACCCGGGTCGCCAGATTCGTCGCAGAGCACGCTGACCGCTACACTGCCGATAATGAGCAGCACATAACACACACACACATTACGGTCCCTTTGCTCTATTCAAGTCTGGAAACATCACCCGTACTTTACAATGTACCGTTATTTCCCCTGTAAGGATAACGATTCTAAGTGAAAAATAAAAGCAACACGAATACCGAAGAGTTTATCACGCGATCTTACCCGAAAGATTCGTTTGCAAACGACAAGGACCATTGAGAACGTCTTCTCTCCCCATGCACCTTGAAGTCACCACCACGCATGGAGCCACTGCTGTCACCGCTGCCACTGCTGCTGATGCCACTGCTGCTGATGCCACTGCTGATGCCACTGCTGATGCTGCTGCCACTGCTGTCACCGCTGCCACTGCTGCTGATGCCACTGCTGCTGCTACTGCTGCTACTGTCACTGCTGCTGATACCACTGCTGCTGCTACTGCTGCTGCTACTGCTGCTGATGCCACTGCTGCTGATGCCACTGCTGATGCCACTGCTGCTGCTACTGCTGCTGCTACTGCTGCTACTGTCACTGCTGCTGATACCACTGCTGCTGCTACTGCTGCTGCTACTGCTGCTGCTACTGCTGCTGATGCCACTACTGCTGATACCACTGCTGCTGCTACTGCTGCTACTGTCACTGCTGCTGATACCACTGCTGCTGCTACTGCTGCTGCTACTGCTGCTGATGCCACTGCTGCTGATGCCACTGCTGATGCCACTGCTGCTGCTACTGCTGCTACTGTCACTGCTGCTGATACCACTGCTGCTGATACCACTGCTGCTGCTACTGCTGCTACTGTCACTGCTGCTGATACCACTGCTTCTGCTGCTGATGTCACTGCCACTGCTGCCACCGCCGCCGCTGTCACCGCTGCTGCTGCCACTGCCGCCCTTGCTAGATGATGCGCAGCTCACCAAACAACAGAGAACTCCCCCAACACCAGCCTCCCCCGCCTCACGCCGCGACTCGCACGCACCATCTCTACGGCAACACCAAATTCTGTGCTCCCACAGATCACCCAGAGCTGTGTGCGATGAGCGTCAAGCGCGCGTGTCAACAAATCGATGCCAAAGGGGGCCCTGCTGGAAAAAAAAAACCCTTGCGGCATTTCACGGCGATTAGCGTCAAAGGTGGATTGTTGTTTGGTGTTTTGTTTCACTCGGGCTGGGCACTTTGCGCTCCGTTGACTTCAGAACGCAGCGCACGCAACGCAGTGAGCCCGGTCTCAAATTAATGTTTCAAACGATGAATGCCAAGATATGCCGTAATTGTGTATGCACCGTTTGTTGAACTTCTTTTGCGGGCCGTGCGTAGCCCCAACCGTGCTCATCGGAGGCGCTGGATGCGATGATGACTTTGAATGCAATTACTGTACAAGTTTTTGTTTGTTTGTTTAATTGTTGAGGCGACTTCGGTACGCGGGGTTAGCTAATGCAAGTGTGATTGAAATCCGTTCACGGGATCAGTCACGAAAATATGTTGTCAAACAAAGTTGGGACTTTATTTGTTTGCTTCGGCCAAGGATGGCGGGAGTCGGTGAGGAATCGCCGATGAAGAATCATCGATGAAAAAACATCGATGAAGAATCATCGATGAAAAATTATCGATGAAAAAACATCGATGAAGAATCATCGATGAAAATCATCTATGAAGATTCATCGATGAAGAATCATCGATGAAGAATCATCGATGAAGAATCATCTATAAAGAAACATCGATGAAGAATAATCGATGGAAAAACATCGATGAAGAATCATCGATGAAGAATCATCGATGAAGACCATCGATGAAGAATCATCGATGAAGAAACATCGATAAAGAATCATCGATGAAGAATCATCGATGAAGAATCATCAAGAACCATTGATGAAGAATCATTGATGAAGAAACATCGATGAAAAATCATCGATGAAGAAACATCGATGAAAATCATCGATGAAGAATCATCGATTAAAAACCATCGATGAAAAATCATCGATGAAGAATCTTCGAACGTGACGATGATTACCCACACCACCAAGAACCCAAGCAGGGCTATGGTGCGAGACGAAATCAACTCCCGTCGTCTGAGTGAAGGTGCAGCGTGAGATAGTCGCGAGTCACATTGTCGGAGACCAGCAGTGCCCTGAGGAAGACCCAAATAATGACGTCGTCTCTGCGTGTATTTGTACCTACAACATATCACGATTACATTGCTATAATTCAATAATATTATATGTGTGCATGAATGGAAAATAGTTACCGAGTTCACTGATTGGCTGACCTCTTAATACTGGTGGGGAAATATTGCAAGGCCTCTCGCATTGAACATTTAGCAAAGTTTAGACTCGACGTTTCACTGCTTTAGTCGACGTTTGACTGCTTGAGTCGACGGCATTACGAGAATTACAAAATTTAAATGCATAGCCTCAGACCTGACAAGGATTTCGTCTGACTCGACTCAGACTGAGGATGGTGATTTTTGCTTCTTCGTGTCGCTTAAATGAATGTCCCGTGTCTGTATTTAGAGCCACTTAATCTGCATTGCAGCCCCGTGGCTTTCGAAGCTAAGACCAAAGCCGAGCGCAGAATGCCATGGGCAGACTCTTGCCTTGTACTGCACGTTTGTTGAAATGATTTTCGACTTGGCACCGTACATAAGTAACCCGTGCTCAATCGTGAGCGAGACCACGTTCTCCACAGTACGGCCTGTGATTGCCTCACCTCTCTCAACATCTGACATCGACTTGCGCTCCTGCGCCCACCTTATCCCATATCAATTGGCCCTCTTTCTCTCTTCTTCTTCTTCTTCTTCTTCTCCACGAATGTTGTCCTCTGCTTCAGCGACCGTGCCTCGTCCACGTCTCCAAATCAACCTGTACTCGTGAGCGCGCACGGGGGTGGTCGCTCTTTCTCCTGTGCTGGCCTCTCGGGTCCTGGAACGCCCTCCTGCTCCTCCGAAGCCCATATTGAAGTCCGGGAGCTGAACCCTGCTCCCTCTCGTCCTATGCCCACGATCAACTTTCATCTCTCACGCGTTGAATTTACTCGGGGGACAGAGGGAGTAAGAAGCAACGGGGACATCGATTGGCTAATGCGCACTTTTCTACTCAGTTACATTGAGGTGCGGGTAACGTGACACGGGATATGTTGGTGCTGTCTGTCACAACAATAATAATATAATAACGTCCTCTGTTTATCTAGGGAAGCTCTCGCACCGCTCCGCCAATGTGACGCTTAGCCAGTTCTATTTATCAGCGCGTGGCGTGTTGGAGGACAGCCAGGGGAAGGTCCCAATGCACAGGAGATGACGCTCACAAAAAACAGGACCGCAGGGACGGATTTTAAAAAGCCTGGGTTTTCGAGTTTCACAAATCAGACCCTTGCCTCCAAAGCGCTGGATTATAATCGTTATCCATTATTTATGAATTACCGTTGCTAAGTAAATATGCATACACACACGCACGGTTGTTTCATTTCCATGTAAAGTAACATACAGTGAGGTATTGGCTGATGTTAAACAATGTTTATTCGGTTTTTTTTGTTCATTCTGGAGATGAAACAGGCCCTTGCGTGTTTAATATCTTTCTTGTATCTTTTTTTTTAGAAACTATTCAGATTTTTCAGAGAACGCGCACCGAACGGAACGAACGGGATCAACGCATATTCAGAAAAGGCATTGCATGTCCGCAAACTATGAGTAATATATAATCACATTCCGCAACGACCATGCCATTCGGCGATTGCGCAATGAAAAGAGAGAGAGAGAGAGAGGAAGGGGCAGCATAGATCGACGACTGTGTGTGCATGTTGTGGGTTGTGGTAACGGAGTGGACGAATAAGCAAAGCAGAGAAAAACAGGCGATCATACATTGCGCGGTGCAGTACGGGATCTACCATTGCTGCGTTTGTAGAATAAACACGGTGGGTACGGCGATCGCGACACGCCGAGTTGTTAATTGAGTGTTCTGATGTGAAGAGAGACACCGCGGACATTAACGAGAAGATCGTTGCGAGCGTGGGCCCAGCTGTGACGGACGCCAAAAAATAATAAAATAACGTTGATTAAAACCGCCAGTTTTGATCGTATCCCCGAATCTCGGAATATCTAGTCATAAAAAAAACCCTTTCCATGAGAGGAAGACGGAAGGTGGAAACAAATTACGAATTAACGAAATAAAATTAACAAACTTGCGGTTGGGTTTGCCACTTCTCTGGCACTTGAAACCAAAATCCCAGACATTTCTGAGTCACCTCTCGGCCTGTGATCAAAACTTGTGCCTTGGGCCGTCATGAAGTTCAACACCATCCAGATCTCGGAGCAAATCAACATTTCATGAGGAGGAGGAGGAGGGGAAAAAACAAACATCTGGTGTAAAATGATGTGAAGAAGAATTTGTTTTAAAACTGACGATGAAAATGTAGCAGGTGGGGGAGTGAGCCTTCAACGGGCAGTGAGCAGAGGGCCCCTTTCCACCATGGGCGGAGTTTGGTGGGGGGGGGGCGGCACGGGGGTGCAACCCCCCCCCCCACCAAATGGACACCTTTATTAATTGATTTTAAGTAGTTCACAATTAAGATTAAAACTAAATTCATTATATTCTTAATGCGAGGGGACAAAGCGAACGCCCCCCCCCCCTCTCACCAAATATAGAGGTCTATCCTCAGGAAGTCCTTGAGATGAGGCTTAACCAACGGCCTACAGTGGGGGGCACCCTGCGATTGGCACCTTCAGCTGCCATTCCTTCACCGCTCTCATCATCTGTCGGCCAGGGTCCCTCCCGGCGACGGTCGCGTCCTACCCAAGGCCGCGTTTTACTTTTCCTTTTCACTCGGAAACGACGTCTCGAATTTCGCGTTCGCACTCCCCCGATCCGCGCGCTCCTTCTCGACCTGCCCGTGCCTTGTGGCATTCCAAGCGTGCGCCTCTCCGCACTCTTATTTTCGTATTGCTTTCCAGCTTTTGTTCCGTTTTGTTAATCGGTGTTCGTTTGTAGAACTTAAATACAAAATTGCACAGCTAATAAGGTGATGTTAAATTTACGCACGATTTAGATACTGCCCGTCTCTGATGGTATAGCGTTTAAGCACAAAATGAATGCACTTTTTTTTGTTATCCTTGTTATGAATCTACGTCCGCAGTAGCATTGGGAGTGACGGTAGCTAAAAATATATATAAATATATTTTACAAAAATCTGTGTTGAGTATGATTTTCGCCTACAAATACGTGTGGCTTTTCCATTGGTCCCCCATTGCCAATTCTCAAAAAAATTCATAGTTTTAAATATCTTAAACTTTTGAATAACCCCACCGGTGATGGGTATCCACTGTAATTTAT